TCTGAATACATTTTCGTGATGAAGTTGTCACTTACAGAAATTATATTTTTCATTCTGTGGAAAACGGATTACGAACGGATCATCCCTTTCTATGAAGTTACCATTTGAGAAGTGGCATTTTTATTCACAGCAATTTTTCCTTCGTTTACATCACTATATTTACTTTGCAATTACGACAAAATACCAGTTATGACAGACAATACCGCATGTCTGACACCACCCCCTTTTTTTCAAATAACGTGCTGAACTAGTTTCGAGTTCCAGAGTCAGGTCACATGCTCACATCTTCGCAAGATCAGCGACATAATCAACTTAAACACCCCCGCATTCATAACCGCGATCGAAGTCTCTCAAGTTGTGATGACTCAATTGTTGTATCTCGACTAGCTACTATCTTAGAAAGCAGGTCCCTCTCGTGCAATGGCTTGTGGCTTATTTCGGCCAAGTGCGGCCCGTGGGAGAGAAGCCCCCTGTGGCCCCGCGAAGGCCGGCGCCAACTGACGCAGCCGCCGTCGATGTGTGTCAAGAGTAGCGGGCCACGCCGCCGCGCACAGCAACGCGCCTAGATACGCGCCGCCGCCGCTGCCGCCAATTCCGCTGCCGTAGTCTACACTGTCGCCCCCATCGCCACCTCTGTCGCCACCAGCGCCACAGTCCCGTTTGCTGCCGCCGCCTTCACCATCGCCACAATAGCCGCCCTCGCCGTCTCCATCGCCATTCGCCCCATTCGTCTCCGTTGCCAACATCGCCACCGTCACCACTTCCGCCACAGTCGTCCCCGCCACGGCCAGCCTGCCGCCACTTTCGCCACCACCACCACCACCATCGCCACCGCCGCCACTTTCGCCACCACCACCACCATCACTTTTGCCACCACCACCACCACCACCATCACTTTTGCCACCACCACCACCACCACCATTACTTTTGCCACCACCATCACTTTTGCCACCACCATCACTTTTGCCACCACCATCACTTTTGCCACCACCACCACTTTCGCCACCACCGCTTTCGCCACCACCACTTTCGCCACCACCACCACCATTTTCGCCGCCGTGACCACCACCACTTTCGCCACCACCACCACCACTTTCGCCGCCGTCACCACCACCACTTTCGCCACCACTTTCGAAATAAGCTTGTACACTTCAACCCCAATTAATTTTTTCGCTGCATTATTCAGTTTCTTTTCGAGTATTTTGGCTTTTCTGGACCCATCCTACAAAATCATATTAAAATATTATTTTTCGTGTTCTTTCATCGTTATTGTGCGGAGAAGAGCAGTTTTTTCATTACATTAAACATCCGGTCATTCCAAGTGGCAGATAATATTAAGTTTCCTCTTTGTCTGTGGAAAAAAAGCATTTTGTGAAAATTTATCGAATGAAAAGACTTCCCTTTGTGTCGCCGAGGTCCACCGCACGGTCGTTGGAGACGACCGCAAGCAAACTCTGTCTGTGGGAAACAAAGTGGAAGGCAACACAATCTAGAGATGGATTAGAATTTTCGTGCTTCCAGGAGCCCTTTGAAGAAACAAGCGAGACAAAGTGCGTTCCTCTCGACAGTCGCGATGCGGAAATGTTTCTTTGGGGGCAGCTCTCGTTTAGCCATTAGAGAGGCAGAAGCGCCATCAGACGGTTTTGCAGGCTTTCTTTTCCCTGTATGCTTACCGACCACGTGTATTCTTTTCTTCAAACATCTCCTTGTACATTTGAAGTATGTAACTCGGGTAATATTTCGTAACGTCACGTGTATAGTTCTGCCAAGCATCTGGCACTTTCTCCCCTGCAGTTGAGCTTCGAAAGTCTGTGATGCTCAGATGTTACAATGATAGGAGTTATCGTTACACGAGTTTGCTTTTAGGATACTGGTAAATTCCTGTGTTAGAATATTACTCACAACGCCATTGCTGTTTTCCTGAAAGTGCATTGACATATTTCTCTTATTTATCAGTGGTAGTCCCTTTCCCTCCCACCCTACAAGCAATTCTATTAACCTCAACTCAATTGTGGCAGCGGCTGCTCAACCCAACAATTTTTTGTTGACTGTTTCAATATTTTCTACAATTTCCACGCCTTCATCGTGGCACATAACAAAATAATATTAAGATTATTTCGTTTTAAGTCCGAGTAGATGCCATTTCAAGAAGAAATTCACATTTTAAAAATATGGGAATGATTAACGGAATTAAATTGCCTCCTCATCCCACTGAAATACTCCCCAGATCTACTGCTCCTACGTATATATGTACATATGTAAAAATATAATTTGTCCCTCAATTAATCGATAAATTAGACACAAGTTATATTTCCAGCGCATATTGAAAGCACATAATATTGTCATAAGTCAAAAACAATATAGATAATTCGTATTGAAAAATAAGTAAAAGTAGAGAGGGGTTACATGAAAGCTATGTCCCCGTAATACGGTTTCACTGATTACGGAGTTTTTGCACGCCTTTAGCGGGCAGCAATCGACTGCAATCTCGATCTTCTGGGCATGTGCAGATGCACAAAAGTGATGCGAATCTTGAACTGCGCATGCGCAGCAGATCGATAGTCCTTTAACGTTCGGGTGTGCAAAAATTCCCCACCGCCTGCTTCTAGACATCATTTCCCCAACGGCCATTAGGCGGTATTTGGCGGAGATAGCAGAGAGAGTTTGCTGCGGGAGCCAGCAGCAAGCGGCGCCTTGCGACAGAATGCAGCTCTTCAATTATTCGGTGGCCTCGGGGAATCCCCGCGCCCGCGTAGGCGAGAGAGCGGGGATCAAAGGGAAATTTTGATGCTCGGAAATGGTCATCCGGAGCGGCTCCCCGCCCCGCCCCGCCCCGCGCCCCTCTAGCCCGCACGCCCGCGTCACCTTGGCTGAGCCTCTGCGTCGGCCCGCCGCACCTATGTTGTGTCATGTCGCGCGCCTCCTCCGGTACAGCCCCACTCTGTTACGTTAAAATCTGTCACGTTCTACACTCTCGCATTCTACTCTCCCACTTTCTATCCTTTCATTTACGCCTTTTTGCCTTCTATCCTTTCACGATCTACCCCTTCATGTTCTATCCTCTCTCGTCCTTCTCTGCCATCTGTTCTATTGCTGGGTACATTCTCTCCTGTTTCTCTTTCTGTTTTTTTCTTTCCCTGAGTCCTTAATTTGCTCTGATCTTGCGGTCTCGCTCTTTTCTCCGTATGTGTGGCGGTTCATATTTTTTTACTGTGAATCTTTCAATTGGTTCCCATCACTATCTGCACTCCCGTCTCACAAAGTACGACCAGCGTATTGGTCGTACTTTTCAGCAGATAGGCAACATTTGAAAACATTTTTTAGTTTTATAATCTGTATCTTGGAAATGTTTTCAGTTTGCATTTCTCTGCCCTATCACCTAAACTTTCCTTCCCCCTCATTTTTCACACCAGGTCCTCGCCATTTTAGCACCTTACATCAACTTTCGCTTCTCAGAAGTATACTTTTCCCAGTCTATAGCTTCTCTACCGTCGTATTTTTTTATTGTCAGTACTATTACGTAGTTAAAGTGAAGGAATAATGTTACAATAAACCTTTTGTTAAAATCACGAATATTTTAAAAAAATATTAATAAAGAAGGTACTTTTTCTCATTGAGAAGCAACTATAGGTTCGTTGTTTCGTATGGTATTAGAATAAAACAATTTTTCTACGCAAGGTGGGTATTAATGTTTTTACTTACACGTACCGTAACGTAAATACCTCAATAATTGTAACTTTCGTTAAGTACTAGAAGAAAACCGAGGCTGAGTATTTCACTTTACGAGTTCCCGAAATGGAACGGGAAGCGGTGTTTTCGAGAAACGTCAAAGCCGCCTTCCTCGTAGCCGCTCGCGAGGGGCGCCACCACCGCAGCAGCTGCAAGGCAGCTCGTGCGTGCGTGTGTGTCGTGCGTTACTGCGGCGCGCTGGGTAGGACGGCGTGTGCACCCGTGGTTCCGCCTTACGTGGAAGATGTCGGCGGTGGCGACGCAAAGCGGAAGAAGTGCGAAAGTAGACGACGGGATGTGTGACACGCTTTCTAGGAATATTGCGCTGGGAAGGAAAAAAAACGGCGAAATCTGGTCGGTACCGGAGTTACCTAAATACGAAAATTGTCCATGGTTATTACGGCTTGAAAACTCGGATTCAGCTTGGTGCGTTATGGAGCCAGCAGAGGTCGTCATTCGATATTGCGCTGGGACGGATAATAATGCAGGGAAATCGGATTGACCCCGGATTTACCGAAAAGCGAAAACTGTCCAATGGTTTTTACGACTTGTAAGCCCGTATTCAGGTTGGTGCGTTCTTTTGACTGAGGTCGTCATTCCTTTACTGTATTTCCTATACTGTAGGAAGACGAATAAATCAGTATATCACCTTAGCGTAAAATACGCCATTTTTCGCATTTTCCAAAAGTGGAAGAATCCAAATGAGAGAAAATATCTACCAAAGAATATACTTTACTCTTGGTCCAAGTTGATTTATAAATTATTTTATTCAAGATAGAAATTAATGTTACTTGCTCGTGTACCATAGTATTGGATTAATTTTCCTTTACTTAATAACGATAGGTGAAATTCGTAGTCAAGCGGAGGAAACGACACAGTGCCTGAGCCTCGCCAGGAATTATGGCATTTATTTATTTATGAACTTTTGTATGCTTATTGCTTGCTAGAATTATTTACGTGTGTGAAAGAGCTGTATTTGAGAAATTGGTTTGCTAACTAAATTCGTATGTATATCAGTTACACGTCATTTGAATAGATTCAATTGACAGCCTGAATGAATGAATGAACCAAGATGTGTGTCTGACTATCCGCCAGAGTAAGTTATCCATCAACTTGCGGGCCCACCTTGGCCTTGCATCTGTCAAATCCCCGTCGGCGGCCGCCGCTCCTCTCCTACGTCTTCCTGGTGGACAAAGAAACAAGTTGCCGCAGCATTGTTCTCGCGGCGAGAGTTGTGTCGCTGACGCGTTCCCCCCTCGTGGATTGCTCAGGTCCCGCAAGCGGCGGCCCAGCTCGTCCCACGACGACCCCGGCATCGGCGGCCTGGGCCTGGACTTCATGGACGAGTGCACGGCGGCGCTGGTGCTCATGAGCCTCTCCTGCTCACCTCACTCGCCGCACCTCAACGGTGAGTACCTCGTCCGCCTCCTCCTGTGGAGCAGCGCGCCAGAAAAGTCTCTCCGCTTGATGCTTGCGATAAACGTTATGTTGGTAGCAGCGTGTAACAGATGTTGGAAGTGTTGCCCCCTTCACTTGTTTCCCAGCGATCTGTTTGCTACCAGCAGAAATGGAATTGTAATGGGAGGCCCTGACTCGGCCCAGACCGGAGAGATTTTTCTGGCGCACTATATAACGTTAATCGTGTAGGACTGTTATAAACAAGTTTGCGGGTTCAAACCTGATCGAAGCTGTGGGTTTTAAGGAAGGAAGAATCCTTCGCGCGCCTTCCTTCGAAGGAGAAGTAAAGCCGGCTGTCTCATGTTGTAGATTTGCTACACGTACAATATCTTCAAATCTAAAAGAAACATCTGAGCTAAATCTAAATTGGCTGTTTCGTCGCCCCGGTGATAACTTCTTTCTCCGCAAGATGCTGAAAGGAGCATAACTGAATTTGTGTGGTCTGAGGGAAGAGCATGCCTAATGGTCTGAATATCGCCACGTAAAATAAGACATCATTGAAATGACTCACCTCGCGTTGTTGGGGGATCCTTACTCATTTATGCAATAACAAATACAAGTGATTGAGTACTAGACATTACACAAAAACCGACTATTTCAGAAGATGAAGCATGTTCATTCGGATGTGTTGAGAGATGGGTTGGTTTGAAATAAGCTTATCGAGACTATATCACTCCCAGGATGAAAATAGATATTATTTTATTTTCAATCAAACTTCATAGATCGATTGAAAAGTTTCGAGGGCTTGAACATCCATTGAAAAATATAACATACTTTCCTTGGCCAGCCTGGGAACACTCATATTTTTTTAATGATTTGTATAGATGAAATAAGCGTCTTTCAGTTTCCCTTTGGAGTACTAGGAAGGATTCTGAGCGTCAAAAATCAAAATTCCGTAGTGTAGTAATGTATTTCGTAATAAATAAGTAACTTCATTCTAAAAAGAAAATTTCCGGAGCGATGGCTTTTGGTATTATGCGAGCACTGCATTTGTGAGTAACAAGGCACTGGACGACCAGGAGAATATTTCCTGCGACAGGATTGCTGGCACGTGCGTGTAAACATTCAAGTGTATCAACTCGTTTAATCATCCTGTGTTGCCGTAGTACATCGCCGTCTCTTTCTTTGTCTTTTTGTTTCTGCTATGTACAAGTACGTTACCTTGTTTGGTTCGCGCCGTGACATGCTCTCAGATAAAGTGTACACAGCTAGGTAATCTAGGATCTCTAAAATCGATACATGCCTTGTTGTAATGTTGGTATGGATTTTTTATTGTTTTTAAAAATTCTTTTTATTTATTTATTTTGCTGTCACACCTCTCACCTTCTTTAGAGTCAAGTTTCGTCATCCAGTTTAATGTCGGTAATCTAGACCCTACATTCGCTTTTACCTTTCAGATTTATTTCTCTATGTTTTTTCTTAATTCTAATCTGTAGTTCTCGTGTTAATTAGAACTATCATTTGCATTCACGTACGCACTTAAATTTGAAATGTATTAAAATCATTATTTAAAAAAATGTTTGTTGTATAACAAAAGAAAATTTACGTCACAACCGTTTAGGCTGCCGACTCTCGTAATTAAGTGCAATCTGCAGGATTGATCTCGGGATGTTTTCGATTAACCGCTCTACCTCTTCAAGGCATTGTGAGCGAAACATCGCCGCTCACCCAGGAAGCATCGGGCGATGCGTGGTCCACGCGCCGGCAATTCACTTTCACTGGGCGGTGGAGGCTGCCGGTCGCGGCGTGGAGGGGCGTGGCCAGCCCCCGGTGCGTCGTTGGGGCACCCGCTTCCGCCCAACGCTGTCGCCCCTGCCGCCGCCACCGCCGCCACCGCCGCCACCGCCGCCACCTCAACTTCAAAGGTCCGCCTCAACCACCAGCTCCTCCATCGCCCTCTCTCGCCCCGACCCCGCCTCGTCCTGCTGCCTCCAGCACCGATCCTGCCAACACAACTTCCGCCTCCGTCTCTGGCGACTCCGCCAACACCGTGGATTGCAATGCAGCCTCCACCGCCACCAACATGGCTTAGCTAGCCACCGAGTCGTCTCCTCCTCGTCCCCACCTTGTCTCTGACTCGTCCTGCTGCCTCCAGCACCGACACCACGATCGCAACTTCTGTCACCGTCACCACGACAGCCGGCTCCACCGATTCCGTCGCCGTCGGCATACCCGCTTCAACTCTACTGCTAACCACTGCTAACGCCACCAACCGGATTCGCTAGCCCCGTCCTCTCCTCGTTCCTGATTCGGCTTGCTGATCAACATCGAAGACCTCAGCTTGCACCACCGCAACCACCACCACACCCCCAGACTTCCACGCTGCCGCCCCCGCCACCACCTTCAACACAGGCTAGCTCAACCCGTCCCCGCATCGTCCCTGACTCTTTCTGCTGCCATTAGCACCGAAGCCTCCAAAACAACTTCCGTCACCGTCACCACTAGTGCCAGCTCCGCCGACTCCGCCATCATCGCCAGTTGCAGCGCTACCGCACACAAAATAGTTCGAGAGCCTCGTCCCCGCCTCTCCCCGCCGTCTGACTCCTTCAGTCCCCTCCTCGACGCACACCTCACTCACCTCGTAGTCCTCCTCGACGCCTCTCGTCCCTCCTCTGAAGTCACAAGCTTCCGTTACCACACGTGCCATTCTTCGCTATCTCTCGCCGTCCCGCCGCCGCCCTTGCCGCCGCCCCCGCCGCCGGTCCTCGCCGCCCGTTCCTCGCCGCCGTCCCCGCCGCGCGTCCCCGCCGCCGTCCCCGCCGCCGTCCCCGCGCCGTCCCCCGCCGCCTCCCCCGCCGTGCCCCGCCGTTCGTCCCCCCGTCGTCCCCGCCGGTGCCCCCGCCGCCGTCCCCGCCGCCGTCCGCGCCGCCCACGCCGCGTCGGCAACGCGCTTCGCGAAAGCCAAGTGACGCGCTCTCGTCAGGCGCTCGCGACGGCGTCGTCTCTGTTTCCCGCCGGTATTTGCACGCCAGCTTTCTCCCTCTCTGCCGCCTCCATCTCGATTTCTCCGCCTCCGCGCTTCGCCCGCGCGTGCGTGCGTGCGGGAGGTGTTCGCCTCCGCCAGGAGCCCGCTACTATTTGCGTTGGCAGGCGCCACCTACTTTTTTTTTCGCGTGTAGGCCAACTTAGACCACGCGTGCATCCTGTTTCAGCAGATGCACGTACCTGTCTATGGGGTGGGCGATCTGAATTTAGAGGGATCTCGATTTTTATCCCCCAAAGCCCGGCGGGTATGGATGATAAAATGATAGTGAAGGATAAAAGGACGGAACACACTTTTAGACATACACAAATACACGTACACCTATGCTCGAGGCGGGACTCGAACCCGCGGTCGTCTGGTCAGAGACGCTACGGCATTACTGCCCTAACGATCTCGGCCACGTGACCGGCAGGTACCACCTACTAATAATGTATTTCTTTTGAGAGTTGACGAGATGAATGCCATGTTGATGACAATACAATTAAGATGAATTCTCGGCTGTCCGGGAGACGCCGCGTCGTTGACTGGGGTGCCGACGTTTCGCCCGACATTTCGCAGGCTTCCTCAGGGTAGTGACACTGCGGCGCTTCGCGCCCGTTGATTTAAACTATCTTGCCTGGGCTCTCGGGAGGGGCAGGTGCGCTGTGATTGGCGGAGAGGTCTCAACGACGCGGCGTCTCCCGGACAGCCGAGAATTCATGAATTCGAGCCGCGGAAGCTTACGTACACATACAATTAAGGTACAAGTAACAAATACAAGTAAGATACAAGTAACAAATACAAGTAAGATACAAGTTTTTGCATGGCATTTGTGTGCAGAAGGTGTCCGGATCCTGTCACGATTTACTACTCGTATGACTAACAATTTATTGCAACGACTGCTGATGATGATGCTGATGATCAAACGATAATTAATTTTTCAACGCGACGAAAGTGAGGATGTGATTGAAAGGTGACCCTAAGCGCTTTGCTAGCAACCGCCTTTCCTGTCGTCTTCATTTGAATTCGAAGGACTTGTAATTTATTCTTCATTATTTTCCGACGCTTCAGAGAGGGGTCGCTCATTCATTAGGTATTGAAAACGAAATCAATATTTTTTTTCATGTTCTTCAAACTCACTTTCAACCTACTCACGCGGGGTAAAACAAATTACCGGTTTTTTCAACCCCCAAAAAATCAATGACTGTGCGTCATTTCTTAAAAGAAGTTTATGTGATTTTATTAAATTAGTGTGTTTTGATTGGTACTTGCATCACTACCAGGAGGCCATTCTGTTTCTGACTGTGTTGGGCACTCAAAGCAATATCGATGTGCACAAGAAGACGCGTGATTGCAAGCGACAGGGAAAACGCCTAGATTAATAGCTCCTTGCGATGTTTTGTTTTTAGCCCTTGAAAGGTCATTCGGTTGACACCGCGGAGCGCGCGTATCTTTCGTGGAAGTTCCCCCAGCGCCACCTGGCGCGGATGGCGTGATGGGACCACGTGGCGCCTCCCTTGCGCCACCTGGCGTCAGGCCCCGTCACACGCCGCTGTTCGTGCCCCATCGATCTAAGGCAGTCCCCCCCCCCCGCCCTGCCTGCCACGGCCTCCTCCTACCCTGTCCCGTTCCACTCCCATTCCACTCCTGTCCCAAGCCGCCCTTCGTTGTCATCCGCTTGTCTCCAGATATGCCCTCTCACCTGCCCCACATATGCCCGCTCGCCGGTCCACAAATACGTCCCCACGCAATTTTCACGCCTCACTTATCCATGCCCCCTCGCTTGACTCCAGGTCCTCACGCAAGTTCCACGCCTGTCCCCACGTATGCCCCCTCATCTGTCCCCCCGACGTCCGGAATCACGTACACTCGCAATTTCCCCGCCTGTCCCCGCACCTGTCCTCACGCCTGTACCCTATACTATCATGTTCCCGTTCTCCCGTCTCCTTGTCCGTGCGTATCTCCCGCCCCGTTTCCTTCATTTAGAG